ATTTCTGCAGCAAATGCAAAATCATCTTGAAATTAATAAATGAATGCAGTAAAAAGCTGGCTGGGCTGAGATCTCTTGGAATTCTCGTCACACAACACGCTCTTGTTGTGATCTTACAAACGTCGGCCACGCTGGACGCGTAATCCCTCTGCTTCCACCTCAGCTCCCCGTAATCCCGTAATAATTGCTCTAAGTGCAGCAGGTAGCATAGTACCGGTTCTTTCGGAAGCCAGGCATGGTCCTACTGAAATATCTTTCCTTAGGGCACTTAAGCTGATTGCTCCATAAATGTGTAAACTTGTGAAAGTTACTTCTGGGAACAAGCTGTTGTTGCGATTACAGTGAGGTATTATTTAACGCTGGTGATATAAGGGTCAGTAACAATTTAGATATCACTGTAATACAAACAATTATGTGGAAAAAGACTGTGGTTAAGAAACATAACACTTATAAACAAAAGTAACCTTGCGTGTTGACCTGGTTAATGGGCATCAGACATTCCATCTGGCGATATCAAACAGGCCAGATATCCTGCTTCTTGCTTTGCAAGGTAATAGCTGTAGACAGTCATGTTTGCACAGCGATAGTTGACATTAATACAGCATAATTGTGTCAATAGGATTCAAATTTGCTCCCACACTGTGTCTTGCAGACAATGGCAGCCAGATAGCTAACCACGACCCCCAAATGAATCTGTCAACGGCGGAGGGCCTTCGTACCACAGCCGATCCTTAAACCTGTCGTGAGATCACCGTCACACTGGACATCCTGACGAAAGTGTCATCGATAACTGTGGAGGATAACTTTGGAGCCACTGTTTATGAAATCCCTTCCCTCTCCCAGCACATAACTGGCGTACCCTGAAGATGCAGCTGCCCAGCACACAAACTGATGGCTGAGGCTATGCCTCGGAACACCTAGAACCAGGCCTACAATCGTGGCTGCGCGACTCAATGCTACAACCCTGCATTGCATTCAAGACATTAACACTGCACATCTCTCATTCACCGAGACCTCCAGATCCTTATATACCCATTAAACTCACAGTGCTTCTTTACAGAAACACGAAGAATGTTCTAGGTCTGGAAGCCAGAAAATGAAATTTCCCACCCTTGGCACATGTATCCAAACAAGCTTCCTATCACTCTTAGTGTTTCTGTATCCCTCAACTTTATGTGTAAGTTTAAGGTAGTTTCTGCAGTCTTGGACTTCATTCAGTGTCACCTCTTCATTTGTATTCTTTAATGCCCTTGGTGCATAAATAAACATTTTAAGTAATGCTGCTGATTTTACAAAGACGTTGATATACTTAGATTAGTGCACTATGTTTTGTATAAAGGGAAGGGCACTACAAGTATTGTATTCATGTATGAAATAACACCACATACAAATTACTGACTACTTGGTAGTGTTGATTTCCTTTGTTGTCTAATCTATTTATAATACTATGTACTGGCTTGCAAGTTGTTTTGGGCAAAAGTGCATGACAAATAAATAAATTCAAATGTAAAATATGAGAGTCCTTCAATCAATTCTAGGGTATAATGAAGACAAATGGGCCTTTTAACTGCTTACTCATCTCCTACTGGTAGGACGGCACCTAATTGATCTCTGAATTGCCACCATGAATCGCCAGTTTCATTCATGTAATGGGAATTGAATGCCACCAATCTGCATCTATTCGCATGGAAGCCGTTAACAGCAGAGGGCCCATTGCCGTGGACAATGTCAATGACATCCAGAGAAGAGGCTTTCGGTCTCATTGATGGCTGAGCAGCACTGAATACAGTTGATAAGAACATTTTTTCACCCACAGGAACAAAACTCCCTGCTTCACTGTTCAGTGTTAAAAGCACAGAAAGAAATAATTATGAAACCAATAGACAAATGCCACAATCAAAACCATTAAGAATGTATCAGTGTTGTGAGACTAATTTAGCTTAAAACCAAGTGCAACAAACCCTGCAATTACAATTGGACATACCATAATAAAGACTGGTGATGCTTTGTGACTATATATAAGTAACAGTCAAAGCTATTTTTCATGTCTGTGTATTACGGGGCATTCACAAAATGTTTAGCAAGAGACTGACACAATGTTAACAAATAAGCATGCTAAATGATCATGAGACAAATTGCAAGAACTGAGTGTTAGTAATCCATCCGAAAATGTGTTTAAAATTTGCACCAGTCACTTAAATGGCCAATGTAGTATTTTTTAAAAGGGGAAGAACAGAAATAATGGCAACACTTTATACTTATACAAATAAGGTAAGGCAGATACTCAGTCACGACTCGAGAAAATAATGAACTGATATAGTTGCTGCATGAAATACCTGAACCGTCATGATTGATAAATGATCGACAAATATGGGATCAGTATGTAACTAACACTTAGTTACTGCATAATTACTGCATTAAGTAAACGTTTACAACTACATTTTTTTGTTCCCCCTCAAGTACAATGTTACCAAAATAGCTGTAAAATAAAGTAACGTTATGCGTAAACGGGTTTTGCACCAGGCAAGAAGCGCATGCATTTTAATAAATGTTACACTTTACTGTGATTAGGCATGCAATGTCCGAAAAGTAAAGTAGACTTTTAAAAGGTACATGAAGTCTGACCAGCTAGGTAGCCAGAGAACATTTATAGTATTTTTATAGGCAGCAAGTTTGAGGAAGCTACTTCAAATAGCAGTTGATATTGCAACATCGGGGGTGACTTTCAAAACAGCTCACAACGAACAACAAGTATTAGTTATCAGTCATATAGGGGAGGGGGCAAAGCTGCAATATATTTTAATCACGTATATTTTTACATTTGTTTGCATCAAACGCATAGGGTTATTTTAAAAATACACAGAATCCGCATTTCTATCTCTCAGAAACGAAACGCACCATCCTAATTAATGCGACAAAGCACTAAAATTCATATTTACATAACAGTGCGTTCAGGAAGAAGTTAAATCCGGAATTAAAGGGAAGCGACCCTTGGTCCCAAAAAATGGGTCCCCGTGGGACCCCCTGAATTATCCTAAATTTTACATGAATCATTGTTTTAATGAGAAGGTAACTAATAGTGTATTTGACTTCCAGATGCACCCTGGGAAATGTATAACACTGCAAGAAGAAGCAAACGCAAGAGCTTTAAAAGCACATTTTAGACTAACCAAGAAAATTAAGATACTCTTTATAATTTGAATCTGTTTTAGAGTGTTAAATTAGTGTATTAGAGATCAGCCATAAGCAGATATAACCGTGAGCATGTAACGGTGGTTATTGTTGGCATTCTGAAGAATATCACGATTTCCTACGTTTCTGCAGTAAGGCAGATTATCCTGCTTCTTCTGCTGCTGGAGACAATAGATCTGCATAAGTGTCCAGCTCCAATCACAAGCTGATGACTTCAGCAGCTTCTGCGGAGATATCGGCACGCTCCCCATCCTTTTAGCCTCTCAGTTCTCTCGGCGTAAAGGCCGACAGGCTTGTCAAGGATACAGCTACAAATGCTAGGGAAATGGCATGGTCACTCCGTGGCGTTGTCGCGTCCCTCTGCCATACAGGATCCATCACACTTCCTAAGACACTGCAAGAGGGTCGAGTCAAATGTCACAATCATTAGAGATCTCCACTATAACCGTAGGATCCATTCTATCATCAAAAAATAAGCTCACCATACACAAACAGAGACATAAAACAAAGCCTGAACAAATATACAATCACCGACCACCTTTCTTATTAAGTCTTATTAAGTGCTTGTTAATCAATTTGTCCCTACAAACAGTGAAACGTTTGGCTGCAAGTAGATACATACAGCATGCCTATACAGGGACAAAAGGGTCACTTAGCTTGTGGCCAAGCATTAGAGCAGCTAAAGCACCTGATCTAAGTGATTCTGAACTTGCTGTGATGGTTGGTACCAGACACAGTGGTCTCGGTACGTTAGAAATAGCCACCTTCCCAGGACTTCCATGCACTACAGTGTCTAGGGTCCACAGGGAAAGGTGGAATTAAAAAAAAAAAAAAATCCACTCAGGAGCATTTCTGCAGCTGAAAACACCTTAATGAGAGGTCAGAGAAGAATGACCAGACTCCTTAAAGCTAACAGGAAGGCCACAAGTGCGAAAACAACAGCTCAGAACGACAGCGGTGTGTAGAAAGGCAGCTCTGAACGCACGTCTCACCTTCCCCTTGACATAAGGGGGTCGTGCCTGCTGAGAGTACTGTATATGTACAGACAAGAACTCTTTGTTAAGAACATCAGTCACACAGGCAAGTCATACTCAGATCAAACTCAAGGTCTCATCTGTGGGGGACTGAGATACCTGACTGCTAAACAGCACATATTGTGCCCCCACATACATAAACCCCTAAGTGCTGATGTCATGTCACATTTAACATGACAGCATGTATACCAGACCTGGACAGAAATCCTCTTACAGGTGCAATGAAGCTGAATCAAAGGATGCAGAATCACCTACGGTTCTAAGTGGCATTCTTAGTATGGAACCTGGGGCCAGTGCCGATTTCCATCAGGCCTTTTCCTTAATACTCTTAATTCGAAATTAAATAAATGAAGCCCAGTTTTTTTGGGTAACCAAACCGATTATAAAACTTGTCTGTTAAAAACACCATAGCACTACCAAAGGTTACAAGATAAGAGACCCCCCCCCCCCAACCAAAGGATATGCATATTTTATACTTGATAAATCTGAAACTTGATTTATAATCAGGGACCCTGAAATACCAAGACGTGCTATAAACAAGGTGTGAGGTTCATCAAAAATAGAATTGCCCATAGCTCAGATGACATTTTTACACCTTAAGTGCATGCATTTCAATACAGTATAAATGTGAGAATTGCAGCAGGGAGGCCGGGAGGCCACAACAGACCAAAGTGAAAACGGCTTGGGGACAGACAGCATATTCTTAGGCCGGCTGTGTCACAACAGAGACGTAAACTGAAAGAAAAAAAAAAAAAAACAGCACATCGCATAACCATCTGTGACGCATTTCAGCAGCCTTTATTAATGTTTGCAAATTAAAATATAATAAATTAAATATTTTCTTCTAAAAATGTACAAAAATACTGTCAAACTTTCCTAGAAAGCCTCAGCACAGTAGTATTGCCATGTATCGCATAAACTAAAGAAGCACAGTGGTGTAAAATCTGAAAACCAAAAAGGAAGAAACTTCTGCGGATTTTGGCTTTTATGAGTAGTAGATGTCCCATGCCATTTTATTGTCTGTACATAAAATCGCCAGGGGAGGATCAGGAAGGAGTGGCCCCGCCCATAGCCATTCCCCCTGATAAAGCGAGATCTAAACACATTCTACTCTCCCCTCCCTAAACGTCTGCAAATGTGATTCCCTTAAAAAAAAGTTAATCTCGACACATTTCCGAAATAACCTCAAGACTCGTTTCACTGACATGAGTAACTCTAAACATCATAAACATTTCAGCAGGAGGACAAAATGAAAACATGCCGACACATCTTAAGGAGTTTTCTTCCTTGGTAATCAGACAAATCATTTAACAGCACAGATATCGGGTAAGTATATGGCCACTAAATTGTACAGTATATTATTGTCTGGAACAATTACACAGTACTTGCCTACAAGCATGTTTAATAACCACTTACAAAATTTCGAATAATGTTTTAATTTATATTAATTTAACATCTCTAATCCAAAAATGTTTAAACGATGCAGTAAAATAAATATTTGACGGAGCACAGCAGTTGTACCGTTAGCAGGGTATGTTACACAATTCAATTGTGCTTTTTTTTCCTTAACGAATTTCAAGGACCGCAAAACCAACTTAATTCTCCAAAGTTTCGCGTAATCAAGCCATGATGCATAGCATGGACTAAGAAACCATTTACTCTGAACAAAAAACAGGGAAAAAGTCCTTGCGATGGCGTACACTTCTATATGTCATACCAATCTCTCTCCATGTCGCATACGATTTACAAGAAGCACCTCTAAATCTTAGAGGGATAAAATAATCATGAATAGGTGGTAGATATCTTCCTTCTCCGCGCTGAATATGTTTTATGAAAGTGATTGAATCATAGCTACCGGATAAAAAGGGGGGAATGTTTTTAAAGTCATATGAGCAAATTAAAAATACCAGTCCTCTTGGTGGGATCAGCAGCTGACTCGGCTCGGCTGTTGTTTGCACACGAAGTCTGTCATGAAATCAAACTCGTTTTGTCCCAACCATAGTTCCGGTAGCTCCTTGATGCGGTCCAGTCCCATTTCTATGACCAAAGACATCAAGACCTCCTCGTCCAGAAAATCCGTGTCGATGACGTTGGGGGGCAGTATTGCTGCGGGCACATGATGCGCCGGCGTGGGCAGGCTGCTGAGTTTCGGGTTGTTGTCTCTGAATTGCTGTCCGTGCCCGTTAATCTGATGGCTTGCAGGATGCAGATCGGGCATGTAATGGTGATGAGAGGGTTGCGTGAGGTGGCTGTAATACGGCGTGTTCAGCTTCTGCAGCTGCATGCTGGCCGGCAGTTGTCCTTGACCGCTACCCACGTAGTGGGAGCCGTAGCGGGCGGCTTGGGGCATCGTGGCGCTCGCATGTCCTCCGTTTACATTCCCAGAGCCTATAGGATGCCGGATCCCGTGGTTTGAGTTTACATTCCCCCCTCCGTAGTGCAAATGATCGCCCATTAACCCACTGTAGCCATGCTGCTGCTGCTGCTGTTGCTGCTGCTGCTGATGGTGATGCGGGTTTGAAAACTGGCCCATTCCCATCCGACGCGCTTGTTGGTGGTGATGAAGACCATTAACAGCTTCGGGGAATCGTCCATGGTTCATAGCCATCATGCGGTCTGCCATTCCCCCCTGTCTACAAATAAACAAACAAACAATATATTTATATAAAAAAATGAAACATTAAAGTAGTTCCCACGCGTCCCGGAGAAAACTCCCGCTTGAAGACCCACGACAGTAAAAAACTATGAAAGGCGGGTTTATTTGTTCCTGTACAGATGCATAAATATGAAACAGACGCCGTATCAGCGCCTTAAGATAAATTACACGTCAACTAAGTGAAAAACCACACATCGTGTGTTAGGCAACTGTGTGAAACAAAGCAGCTTCTTAATAAAGACAATGCAACAAATGCACAAAATAACTACCAAAGCAGGTAACAATTAACCACAACTTGAGACAACTTTTATATGAAAGCGGCGACTTCCACAAAAAAAGGAAAATTAAAACTCCTTCCCGCGATTTTGACTTCACGTGTGCGCAAAAATCAGAATTAAACCAAATTACCTCCTTGGCTAGATCTCCTGGTAGTAAAGTATCGCTGTCAGCTCCGTGAAAAAGTCCAGCAACTAAATGTAATCTGCAGTCCAGAATCGCCACTTGCATAGACCGCCGATGCTTAGAGCCTCCGCACACTGTGCGAACATATAAAAGTGCTCAAGGCGCTTTTGGCCGGTGCTGATATACAATCATCCAGGGGCGGAGCGTCACAAAAGCCCGAGTCCGGATCCAGAATCGTGCAAAACGTGGAGCGGATTCCGTACAGCGACGCCGGAGACCATTACCTCACTGCAGCTATTTCTGTTCGTGAAGGCATCGGAGGGGAAAGAAAGAAAATCATGGAATCGCGTTTCATGGCTACAAAAGAGCAGCGCTGTGAAAAGATAAAGGGAATCTGCAATCTTTGCATTATTATATCAATATGAAAACACATATAACAAAATGAAAACACACACTCAGATTTCTAAGCAGGAATATAGAGTATATGTTATTATGTATGCATGTATATTTGTGCGTGTTTACCTCCAGAAATATATGTATGTATCTGTCTGTGTTTGTGTGTGTGTGTGTGTGTGTGCGTGTGTTTAAAGTTCCCGCTGCTTAACGTGATATATTCCACATTTCCATTACAGCCGCAGAAAAGCTGCCTAACGTGATTTATTCACCGCCTGACAAAGTGCTACATCTGTGATCCGATGTGACTGCGGCCGTGGTCGTATTTGCTTGACGGAGGTTCCGGAGCGGCGCTCCGCGTTTTGCAAAGCGCCCTGCTCCGGTTCCCAGACGTGCGCCGCTTGAGTGCCGTACGCGACTCCCAGCACACGGTCCCCAAAGACGGGACGTGAGAGGCGTCACTGCCCTGTAAACAAACCTATTCACCTCAGCCCGACCATGCCCACTGCAGCAAGCAAACACCCCCCCGCTGCGGATCCGCGGGGCTCGCTGCGTCTCACGCCGTCTAAATATGGACCGCGCTCCAAATTAACGCGCCCGGATTGGAAACAAATTAGCAATGCATGAGTGCAAATACCAGGTTAAAAAAGGAAACACAACTTAATAATGTTAACGGGGTGGCCATTTGTTTTAGCATGCACTCGGTCGTCTTGGGTTACTAGACACAGAGACAAAGAATTCCAGTAGCATTGCTAATCCATGTATATAAACTAACCGAAACTATCTCTAATCCCTTTGTTCCATTATATATGTATATTTCAATGTAATTATTATGTGTATATGTACATATAATTGATTTTTGTGCATATTAGTTATGCTTTATTTGCATGTGAATTTGTATCACACATCATTATATCATATTTCTAAAATTTGGAGTTGTTGCATTTCCTGGTAAAAAAAAAAAGAAAGAAAAGGATGCAGTTTGATGTTTTAACAGGCTTATTGTTTCAGAAGCCAAACCTTTGTGTCAAAACAAATGCAGTAAGTGATGAGGAGACCCTAGTGGTAATTTAACCTACAAGACAAGAACAGTGTATTTCAAATATGCATTATAATCAAATTCCGCTGTGTGCTGACACAAAGAATGAGTTTGAAGTGGCCCGGCTCCATGTTCCTCTAGTGCCATGGAGTGTTTTGTGTGAGTTTTTGAAAAGCGACAGTGTTTTGACTGAGCGTGAAGGAGAGCTATGTGAGGACACTCGGCTGACTGAGTGGTAGATAGAAAGGCACTGCAGAAATAAATGCAAAGGAATGCTTAGACATTCTGAGCGAGCCATTCATCTGGAGAGCACTGCTGGCTGGGGGTGGGGGGCGGGGGTACTGTATAACTGCCACGTTAAAAGTCTGGGGGGGGGTTGAGGGATTGTGGTGGGCAGCCCTTTTCCTTACAGGCGTGAAACTGGAAAAAAAAAAACCAAGGAAGTGGAGGGGAGCCAAAGAAAGACGAGGAAATTAGGGCACATTTACAATTTGGAAAGAATCTTCACTGCATCACTGCATCACTGCAGCACTAGTAGTGTAGAGAGTAAGACCGGAATGGGGCTGGGTGTCTGAGTGTTGGAGGGTTAGGGGTTATGCATCCTGATGTTTACTCGCCAGGCCTGACGGACGGAGATGGGGACACGCTGGAAGGTGACAGCGCTGGGCGAGCTGTAGGACACCGACGTCCTCCTTAGTATACAGGTGTCCAAGGCAGTAAAGAAACTCCAGCTACTAAAGATGGAGGGTGCAGATGTGCTTCGGCCGGTTCATCGGGTTACTCTTACTGGCTAATTTCTCTAGCATACAGATGCCATTCAGAAACTTGCTCTACAGACGCAATTGTGGTCAACCTCAGATGTCTTTGCTGGCTGATATTCAGGAAGTGCTCACTTTATAATGCTCTTGGACAAGGCTACTCTATCTAACATAGCCATTACTGTAAGAGAGCAGGTTATCTGAATAGCCCCCTATAATTAGTTAATTTAAATTATGAAGGATGTAAGATGGTTTGCTTTTTATCCTGCCTGTCATGTTCTTAGGCGGCAATTCAAGGTTGACTGACTGTACAAGATTCTGAATGAAAGGAACTGAAAAGAGGCCTTTCACATTACAATAGGCTATTTTAAAAGCTGAGTGCAGTTTTTTTTTTTGACTGCTTCATGTCTCTAATTTGTCATGGTTAATACTCACTTTCATCTTTGAGTTAATGAAAAAATAAACACATACAGGCACTACATGTCTTCTTGGATAGAAGCCGCAGGTAAAGTAATATTAAATATATACTAAAATATATCTACTCTTCTTAAGCTTAACACATGATTTCTGTTATGTCATGGCTACATTACTCCTGTTCCTCAATACTGTAATATACTGCTACTCGACTGGAAGTATTATCAAAGCCAGAGATGCATAAGGTTTGTAATGTAATACACACACAGGTTTGTAATGATATCATTGTGGGGACTCTCCATTCATTTCTATGGGGAAAACTCTAATCCCAACATGACGACCTTTACCCCTACCCAGCCCTAACCTTCACCATAAGTAACCAAACAAAATACGTTTTACTTTTTTGATTCCATTCACAGATGAAAAATGGTCCCCACAATGTCAAAATAACAGGTTTTTATTACATTGTGGGGAACATTTGGTCCCCACAATGTAATATAAACATAATCCACACACACACACACACACACACACATATTTTTCTCAGTTTTATCATTGTACAATCTATAGATGGGGGGGGGGATTTTTTTAACTTGGTGTCATCATGTTAATAGTGGAATAAACAGTTACCATTATTGCATAAAATGCACTAAAGTGAGAGATGTGATAATGCAGTCTCTATGAATGGATTTATCATTGAGCACATAGCATTTGTCAAGCTGACATTAGCTGTGCACAGGATCTTTCCAGATGTTTCATTTTAATTTAGCTTTACAGTCTAAGAACCCAGGGCATCATAAATACCCTGTAGATTCTATATGTCAGAATTTAGGTCATAATGACAAGCATTTGCAGAGCATGGATTTTAACAATATAGTTCCACTGTGGATTTCACACGCTATCATACTGACAGATTTTTTTTTTTAATTCAGCGTTGACTCCAGCATTATGCATAATATAGTATTTTTTCTCCAATCTGTGCACCATCAAAACCTACCTGAAGCCATAATTGGGCTCTCAGCAATTCCGGAAAAACTACCTTGCATTTATTACTTTGTTTTACAAGAAGAGAGATGTTTTCCCATATACCCTCAGGAACAAAACAACAGGTACAGTAATTTATAACTGAAGATTGAAATATGGACAGGTCAGAGTGGCGACCCCGAGAGGGAACGTTAAAGTCCGCATCCGGCTAATAGCAAATTGGTATGCAAGACGTCACTGGTTTGGAGGGAGCCCTGGAAGGGAACATTGGGCCATTTTTTAACTTTGCACAAACAGGCTTCGTGGCTGAATTTCCTGTTTTTACATCATTCCTTTGACTTGAGTATATTTAAATTATTCATTTCAGCATAAATGGCAATAAATATGTTCTGCCCAGTAATCCTGGGGCATTTTCTAGGAAAAAAAATGTACACTAGTGGCCAGAATTGTGGAAACACTGCAGATTGCAGAACTTTATTCCAGTTGCTCCAGTTATTTATTTAATCGCCCAGCGTATGATATTTGTAAACATTCTTTGATTGTATATAAACATTACCGCCGATAATCGTGTAGTATTTTTTAAAGCCAAAAATACTAGGTGTTTCCACAATTTTGGCCACTCGTGTATATAAATGATTTCAGGCATTACTTAGTTGATTTTGCCCAAATGAAGTTCACTGTATTGCAGAGGTAATTGTATAATAAACTTGCTACATCTAAATAAATATTCACTAAACAAGTAAACTCCATCTACTTAAGCTTTCAGGAGATACCATCCTATGTACACAAGGTAATATGCTGTAATAGCTGTGAGCAGTCCCTGTGTGGTTTGGCCTAAATGATACACTTTGCTTGTGAAAGGGGATGCTTGTCTTCCATTTGATTCCTTTCTGATTAACAGATTTCCATCCTGTACTGGCTCTTATTCTGGAGTGGTCCCGTCTGCTTCTGAAGTTTCATTACGGCTCCCGAATCCAATAGGACAATGGCATTCCTCGGCTTCTTAATCTGAACGTCAGGCTCGAATCAGCCCCAGCGGGGAATCAAACTAATGAGCCCATAACCACTAAGCCATATGTCTGGAGCCTACTGCGCATCACGGCCGCGGGAAGCCTTCTGCCTGGCTCTTACGCACGCGATGTTACAAACGGGAAGGAAAGCGGCTCGCTAACTGCCCCAGGTGCAGCTCACGTTTTGCACTCTCCTCCGCCTATGAAGAGGGGAGAGCTTTCCGAAGACACAGATCGCAGACGGCACTGTCTGCTATAACGTCCAGTCGCCCTGATCAGCGCGGGCCAGCAATAAACCTGAGGGTCAGCATGATTTCATAGAACTCGAGCGCACCGTTTTATGCCTCATAGTAAATCAGTGGGCAAGGTTGGAAAGGGCTCTTTATCCTGCTATCTTTTAATCGAACCTCACAAACCAATATATGGTCTTGCCACGGATTGACTGCTACTCTATAGTTTGCGTGGCGACTCCCGCAAATGGAGCCTCTTTCCCTGACTCCTTTCTCTTTTAACTCTCTGTTCCCTTGGTTGCCCTTCATCTTCCATTACAGCTGAGTAATACTCTTT